TAATAAAAATCCTAACAATTACAATAGGGTTTCAGCACTTCGTGCTCGAACCCCTAATAATAAAAATCCTTACAATTACAATAGGGTTTCAGCACTGCGTGCTTGAACCCCTAATAAGAATACTATTATTATTACTGATCATCACCTTGACCAATGTGGCATTGCTCCACCGGAGGTCCCAGTCCGATCCTCCACTCTCCTCTGGGGCCAGATTGTTCCAGACACAGGAGTCACTCATCAGATTACCCAGACTGCCATTCACACGCTGCATACAAGACCGCATAGCGCAGGACCACCTGCCCTGTAAGGTACAGGTAATTTACAAATTTCTTAGGACAAAAATGTAAAAGAAACAAATAAAATAAAGTACAGATAGGAAAGCCAATGTTTCACCAGCTGAACCAATGAGACACATGTAAATAACAGTACAACATATTGAACAAATTGTACCTCCATTCCTCATATCCTCACTTTGAACAGTCTGTATAAGTACACCAAGTTTACTTAATCCTGCTTTTGTTGACCAACCTTTCTGCAGACTTTAGCTACAGTATAACCTTAATCAAACACACGTGACAAAGCTAACCAAGGACTTCAGGATCAAAAGGTATAGTTCACTCAAAAATGAAAATTCTGTCATTAATTACTCATCCTCATGTCATTCCAAACCTAAGACCTTCGTTTAACTTCGTAACAAAAATCCAAGAGCTTTCTGACCCTGCATAGACAGCAATGCAACTGAAATATTCAAGGCCTAGAAAGGTAGTAAGGACATCATTAAAATAGTCCATGTGATATCAGAGGTTCAACTGTAATGTTATGAAGCTATGAGAATACCATGACGCATGCGCATGGTGCTGCTGATGCAGGAGCCAGTGTTCTGACGTAGAACCAGGATGCGCTGTGCCTTGTTTTCAATCAGAGGAAAGCACATGCATGCGTCGTGGTGCTGTTGTGAACGCTCGGCAGAGAGTGACACGGAAGAGAAGAAATTGTTGAATAGTCGTTATTTTTGTTTTCTTTTATTTTGCACAAAAATATTCTCGTAGCTACTAGGTTCATAACATGGACTATATTATCAATGTCCTTACTACGCTTCTGGGCCTTCAGTTCTGTTGCTGTCTATGCAGGGTCAGAAAGCTCTCTGATTTCATCAAAAATATCTTCATTTGTGTACCAAATATGAACTTACAGAAGGTCTTACGGTTTACAATCTGTATTGTTAAAAGCGCTATATAAATAAAGGTGACTTGACTTGACTTTGGAACAACATGAGGGTGAGTAATTAATGACAGAATTTTCATTTTTGGGTGAACTATCCTTTTTAGGTTTGGCATTTAACTGTATAGTTGACCCAAAAACGAAAATTCTGTCATCATTTACTCACCCTCAAGTTGTTCCAAGTTTCTTTCTTCTGGTGAACACAAAGAAAATATTTTGAAGAATGTTGGTAGGCACCGACTTTCATTTTTTCATACTATGGAAGTCAATAGGCACCAGCAACAAATGGTTACCAACATTCTTCAAATTAACTTCTTTTGTGTTCAGCCGAAGAAAGAAATGTATACAGGTTTGGAACAACTTGATGGTGAGTAAATTAATTTTACCATTTTTGGCTCATGTATAACTTGTTTTCACATGCGTACAACAAGGAATTTCAGAAATAATTGTGATACCTGTGCTACCAAGTTGGGATGATCCTCTGACAAACAGATGAAGGATCAGGTCTCTGGTCGATGTCATTATGACACCATTATTTTGGTAAAATAAATTTTTCTTCATTGATAGTATGTTAATAACGTTTCTAAAGCAAAATTGCACAAAAAAAAATCCTTATTTCATAGTAAATATCAGTTACGCTGGTTATATTTTTTGGAGGGCTCTGGCACTAACCTGTTTTAACATTGGTTGTAGGCCAGTGGTTTTCATTCCTGGTTTAGGCATCTATAGTACTGTACATTTTGTATGTGTACCTTGTATGTGTAACCCTGATTAGATCATCAGCTCATTGAAAGATGAAAAGTTTTGAATTAAGTTAAAATGTGCCGGTATTGAATTGAAGTCTGCAGGAACAGGCCTCCTTATACTTCAGTTGTATACCCTTGCTTTTATGTGACAGCAGCATTACTCAGGTGTGATTTGTGAAGGTACATACCTCTCCATCCAAGTCTCCTGTGCTGAAACTAACTTGCCTTTGTAAATTCAGCTTCAGGCGATTCTGGTACCACAGCTGTGTTTGTTCCACAACCTGCAGTCCAGCCCACAGGACGTCTTTTTGTCTTTCCAGATCTCTACGTCTCTTTAGCTAAAAGAAACATTAATTTATCATAAACATTGAAACCCCAAACTACATAATAACTTTGTGTTTTGGCACATTAAAAATGTCAGAATTAAGCATTACGGCTGAAGCATATAGTGAAAGACAGATTAATCAGATGATATTTGTCCATTTTGAGATTACTGGCATTGGTCGATAACCTGTTTGGCCGATTAACAGAAGTGTTGCTCCCCCTACAGAAATTACGCAAGTAACTATTGTGTAAAACAAATGTTTTGATAAGAAAAAAAATCTTATTTGCGTCTCATTTACTATGCTATTGGAGATCAGCCACCCAAAATGCCTTGGCAATCATTGCATGATCCCAAATGAAGCACTATATACTATGTACTCATCCGAGCAGTGTATGAATTACATTACTGTGCAAAACTCTTAGGCCATTATTATTTTCACCAACAACAACAACAACAAAAGGTTTTAAGCCAGTTATTTCTATCTTTTGCTGTAGTGTGTCAGTGGAAAATATCAGTTTACATTTCCAAACATTCTGTTTGCACAAGGAGTCTTACAACAGCCAGTGCTCCACACAGAGATCTGATCTCATCATCATCCAGTTTGTCTGGAATGACATGAAGAAACAGAACAAACTGAGATATACTAAATCCAGAAGAACTTGAACTTTACACAAGTGTCTAAAACTTTTAACAGTATTGCAGCTTTGCAGGTAATTTTCTTAATGTGTCTTGGAGATGTTGCCACAGTTCTTCTGGATGTAATCTGTCTTAGTTTCTTCTGTTTCTTCATGTCATTCCAGATGGACTTGACAATGTCCGTGGGATCAGTGTGGAGCACACTAGCTGTTGTCATACTCCTTGTGCATAAAAAATATCACTGGATTATTACAATTAATGGCAAAATGAATGTTTGGAAATGTAAACTGATATTTCCTACTGACACACTACAGCAAAAGATAGAAGTAACTGACTTAAAACCTTTTTTGGTGAAAATAATAAGACTTTTGCACAGTAGTGTATATTATTTTGTCATTCATAATCAGAGTCTGATAGTCCTCCCTCCACTATGTAATTAATTGGGTGCGTAGAGAGTCCAAAGTTCCACACTTCATTTATTCAGTGCATCACCAGGGTATTTAAAGTGCACTTTTTTTTTCTTCGAAATTTCAGTGTGAGCACACTTCTTGCACTATTTATACTACAAAATGGCATTGAACACAAGTACGTGATTTGGGACTCACTTATTACTTTAGCAATGCCCTAGCAGCCAGAAGACCTCAGCAACCATCTAGCACAGTAGCTGTTGTCAGACTCCTTGTGCAAACAAAATCTCACTGGATTATTACAATTATTGGCAAAAGGAATGTTTGGAAATGTAAACTGATATTTCCTACTGACACACTACAGCAAAAGATAGAAATAACTGACTTATAACCTTTTTTGGTGAAAATAATAATGGCCTAAGACTTTTGCACAGTTGTGTATATAAGATTATTTTGTCATTTATAATCGGAGACTGATAGTCCTCCCTCCACTATGTAATTAATGGCTGCGACAGTTGGGTGCATAGAGAGTCCAAAATTCCACACTTCATTTTTTCAGTGCATCACCAGGTATTTAAAGTGCACTTTTTTCTCTCTCTCGAATTTTCAGTGTGAACACACTACTTGCACTATTTATACTACAAAACGGCATTGAATAGTGCACAAGTACGTGATTTGGGACTCACTTATTACTTTAGCAATGCCTTAGCAGCCAGAAGACCTCAGCAACCATCTAGCACTTGCCTAGCAACAACTGACAAATGCCTTGGCAAGCATTTAAAGATAAATATTAAACCAAACTTTAAGAATCTTTTTTTTTTTTTGAGGCATGTCCTCACAAATACTACTTTTTAAGTTTCATCACTATAGACAAATCTGTCCTGATCCAAATTGTCCCATCCCATGTGAGGAACATTTTCCTCCAAAATTACACACAGTAGACAATCTCTCACCCAGTGGAAGCAGTGCAGTGCGTCAGGGCTGTAGAGGCTGTTCTGGAGAGGAATAATGAGGACGGTGTAATAGCCATCACATGCCATGTGTTCAAACGCTAGCATCAAACTCAAGACATAACACAAAATGAATAATCAGGACAGAGAAGGCAAGAAACAAAGAAATATGAAGCCTTCTGAGAATGAGCAAAAGAGGGAGGGACGGAGGGAAGGACGGATGGAAGGAATGTAAATAGATACTCAGGAAAATTTCTATAAAAGCTGATGATGAACAGCATCTGTAGTTATGATGGCTGCATTACTTACACTGCAAAACCAGACCTAGAAACATGCACCTAAAGATGATAACAGAGATAAGATTTTGGGATTGTTAGACATTATTCCCCTCAGCAAGCTGTCAATAAGAACCCTGAGCTGTCAGTTGAAACTGGAAACACCTGATTTCGTCTCTGCCATCATTCTGAGTTTTCTGTTCCAACATGTTAGGGAATGTGACTGAACCTGGACTGAAATAATAACAGGAGTGTTAACACAACTATTTGAAAATAAACCAATAATATTTCAGATGTAAAAGTAGCAGTGTTTACAGAAACTGAGCATGTGGGGCCACATTTATAAAGAAGCCAAATTTATAAAGAAATCCAACAACTGAAACTGTTGTTCATTTTACAATGGTTGCATAGGACTTGATACAGAAAAACATGACTCAAGTTATGTTCAGTTATTTCAAAATATAGTTATAGGAGCATTACTTCTCATGCAGCTTTAAATGTCAACACAAAACGGACCTCTTTTTAAGTCTTGGCACATTTGAGGCTGCTGTGTGACACGACTGACAACTAGTTGTTCAGTACAGTTCCCTTCACATAGCAGGGCTTTACCGAAAATATGGTTGTAAGTCCTGAAAGTTTATGGGTGTGAGTTTGGTTATAGAATGCAGTTGTCAATTCTGTAAATAACTGAATTGTGTATGAATGCAACCATATTGATGACTCAAATACAGGACCGACAACCGTATTCTGCTGCTGTGTGAACATGGCATTAGGTGTCTTCAACTATATTGTACTTAAATAAAGAACTGAAAGCTTTGTCTATATTATGGCTTTGTCTCTGTACTTCTGTTCAACCCTGTTATGTTGTTACATCCACCCTTTAAGATTGTGCCCAAAACACCTCTAAAACCAGTAAACTAGGCAGGGAGATCAGCAAACCAGCTTACACTATTTCTTTATGTCTCTTTAACAGGAAGAACATCACTAAATGGCTACTTGATGGCTGCTCTGTCAATTCTTTGTCATCAGTTAGGAACCTAGGTGTGCTATTTGATAGCAATCTTTCCTTTGAAAGCCATGTTTCTAGCATTTGTAAAAATGAATTTTTTTCTCAAGGTTAGATTATTGTAATGCTTTATTGGGTGGTTGTTCTGCACGATTAATAAACAAACTCCAGCTGGTCCAAAATGCAGCAGCTAGAGTTCTTACTAGAACCAGGAAGTATGATCATATTAGCCCGGTTCTGTCAACACTGCACTGGCTCCCAGCTATGACATCGTATAGATTTTAAAATCTGGTTTATTACTTATAAAGCCCTGAGTGGTTTAGCACCTCAGTATTTGAACAAACTCTTGTTACATTATAGTCCTCCACGTCCGCTGCGTTCTCAAAACCCTGGCCATTTGATAACACACTAACACATTTCTAATATTCAAATCCGTTAAAGGATTTTTAGGCTGCATTAAATAGGACAACCGGAACTGGGAACACTTCCCATAACACCCAATGTACTTGCTACATCGTATAGAAGAATGGCATCTACCCTAATGTCTGTTTCTTTTAACTGAGCTGGATGATGACATTACTGAATTCAATGATGAACTGCCTTTAACTGAAAATTGAGTGTTTACTATTGTCATTTTGCATTATTGACACACTATTTTCCTATTTAATACCGTAAAGTTGCTTTGACACAATCTGTATTGTTAAAAGCGCTATATAAATAAAGGTGACTTGAATTGACTAAATTAGCCAGAACCACAAAACCTCTCATTTACATTATTAAAGGGGAAAATCAAGCTTTACATTCCAAGCCAAATCTTTAATGATTGATAATAAATAATGATTGTTTAACAAAGTGCTCAGGATTATCATTAGATTGCACCTCCACCACATGGGCCTTCTCTTTTCTAATGACAGTGATGTTGTGTAATATATAGAGCAAATGACATCACAAATCTTCATTTGGTCAAAGGTCACTTCAATACGTGCCATGCAAATAGTATCTAAACAGTTTGTGCCATAAGAACAATTGTACAGTTCACCCAAAAATTTAATTTTTGCCAACATTTACTTTTACATTACTTTTACTTTTACATCATTTACCTGAAGCTCTAGAGTCAATAGTCACATAACATTTAAGTTCAGGTGACTGGACCTGAGCAGTGAGCAAAGATGGCAGATTTCAAATGTTTTAGTTAGGGGGGGTCCTGCTGGTATTTGAGCAAATGAACTGCCTTAGAGACGAGAATTCAACCACTTTTGCTGTTAGCTGAGCAAGAAACTTGTAGGATAATTGATTTGCAGAATAATTCACTGTTCAAACGCAATCAAACACAGCACACTTAGGACATCTGCTGGTCACACATGCTATTTGCACTTTGAGTGCCTAGAAAAGCGCTATATAAATGTAAGGGGGGTCCTGCTGGTATTTGAGCAAATGAACTGCCTTAGAGACGAGAATTCAACCACTTTTGCTGTTAGCTGAGCAAGAAACTTGTAGGATAATTGATTTGCAGAATAATTCACTGTTCAAACGCAATCAAACACAGCACACTTACTGGTCACACTGGTCACACATGCTATTTGCACTTTGAGTGCCTAGAAAAGCGCTATATAAATGTAATGAATTATTATTATTATTATTATGATTATATGGGAAGACTTAAATCAGCAACAATCACACAGTTACTCATCCAGAGTAAGGAAAAGGGCTGGGAAAATCACTTTGGACCACTCACATCTAGGTCACTTCCATGAAGTGTTGTTGCCTGGTCACCACTATAGAGTGCTGAGCACCAGAACAACCAGGCACAAGAAAAGTTTCTTTCCTCAGGCCATCTACCTCATGAGCAGTTAAAAGCCCCCACTGTGCAATAAAAATGTGCAATATATTGTCCCTGCAAATGCCCAACATTATTTATACTCACATTTATTTGAAGTAGCATACTTTTTACTCACATTCCCTTTATACTGTATATAACATATATGTATCTGTACATACATATTTTGTCCATTGTCTTTTTTTGTCTATTGTTTATATCCCAATTCTCAAGCAGAAGGAGCTGGTTGCAAAGTTTTGAATAATATCAGTGTTCATTGACTGGAATCCCTCCGTATTCATTCACTTGGCTAGAGGAGAACTGCCTGTATTGTATAAAGCATTATATAAATAAATGTGACTTGACTTAGAAACTGTATTTTTTAAGTTAAAAAGTACTCACAAAGTAGTATTATAAAGTAGTTTATCTACAGCCAAGCAACTCTTTAAAAAAACAGATAAATTGCATTTATAATGCTTCTGCAAAAGCTGCTTGATTTCAAAAATGGTTACTGTCAAGCAACTGGAAAAATGTTTGTAGGTTAGTAACGACACTGCTCGTAGTTAGTTACATAGGAGAGTAACTTAAGGCTGCGTTTACACTGCAAGTCTTAATGCACAGATCCGATCTTTTGACCATATCCGATTTTTTGCCACGTCTGTTTCCATTCACTTTTGACACGACTGGTATCCGATATCTGTGTTTACATTAGCCTAATTCCCACCCAAAAGGATTGTCTGCAGTGATCGCTTACTATGCACATGGTAGACCATCATGTTTTAAATGGCCGTGCTTTTAAAATTATTTATTTAATTCACGTCGAATGGCCATTATTATTTGCCAGCATGGACAACGGCTGTCATGGATGTTTTGCAGCACAAAATCTGACTGAACAGATAAAGACCGGAAAATAACGGTAATTTTAATTTGTTAGACTATTTTATCTACAGCTCGTTAGAGGTAGAATTCTTTAGTGAAATAAAGATGATATTTATTGAAGTGAATTCGAATTAAGGAGAGAGAGAGAGAGAGAGAGAGAGAGAACGAACGAACGAACGCATGCACCCACGTGCGAGCGAGCGATTGTGAAGCATTGCAAACAAGCTTGTCGGTTTAATTACAAAAACTGCTTAGTTATCACCTCATTGCTGAGAAATATATGTAGCTTTTAGCTGTTGTATTTTCAAAATTCACGGGGCGGGGGTTGAAAACCAGCTCCTGAATGTGCAATTTCTTACCTATAAAAAGTTTCAATCTCAATAAAATGCGAGCGCATACAGCACGCTATGCTGTTAAAACGCCATTAAAAATCTTTATGAGCAAACGTGCCGCCCTCGCATTAGGAGTTCTGTGGAGAATCGGATATGTGTGTTTAGACGTAGGTCGGATGTCCAGATATCAGATGTGTATCCGATTAAAATCCACATTTGGAAGTGGCTCAGATCTGATGCAAAACAATCGGATCTCGTGCGGGTTTTTGTGTTTACACGTGTGCAACAAATTCGATGTGAGCGAAAGATCGGATTTGTTGTGCCAGTGTAAACGCAGCCTGTGTTGGCTTCCATGAATGCAGTGTTTACACGTCAAGTAAAAAAAATGCATGCATTGGGTGAACCTAATTTTACTCATAGCCTAGGCTACATATTTTGTTAAATATGTTGCTGAAAATATTTGTGTGATAGATAGATGATAAAAGAATGTCTTTATGCTTTCTAATACAGATACAGGATAATTTTTGATAAATCAGAGATGACCCACTTTTCCTGAAAAGATGTTTGTCTGGAGTGCATGATCTCAAAATGTTTATTAGTATGTATATATATATATATATATATATATATATATTACCTTCCAGATAACATATTATATGAACTGAATTTATAGGGGTCCCATTATGCTTTTTCACTTTTAAAATTTTAGTCAGTGTGTATGTTTGGGCATAAAAAAGATCTAGAAAGTAACAAATCTCAAAGTCCACTCCAAAGGGAGATATTTCGTTTTTTTAAATTCCCTTTTCAAGAACTACAACGAACGGCTCGTTTGGACTACAGCGTT